GGATGTTTACAGCTGTTTCTCTTCATTTTGTGTTGTGCCCCATCAGCAAATGAAGGTCCCACTGGCTTTTCTCCCATGGGCTTTACTCCATTCGCATTATTACAGTCAACTCTACTTTGAGGAGGCAGCTCTTCCCCAGTCACATTTTGTGTGCCTTCCAACCTGAAGGGCTCATTTTTCTCACTATATCCGACGGTGTTTCTCTGCTAATTCATAAGGTTTTCAGTGATTAAATATTCGGAAATAGTTTGTCACGCCTTCTTCCTAGTCTGTCTTCGTCTGCAAGCTCATCTGAAACCTGTCCACCATGGGTGACCCTGCTGGTATTTAAAATACCAGTGGCATAGCTTTCAGAATCACGGAAACTCACAGCCACCACAGTACGACAAACTGACAGACAGACGAATGGTGGTCATCTGCATATGGCAGGTTGTTAATAAGTCTTCCTCCAATCCTGATGCCATGTTTTTCTTCATATAACCCAACTTTTGGGATTATTTGCTCAGCATACAAGTTGAATAAGTATGGTGAAAGAATAGAACCCTCTTGCACGCCTTTCTTAATTTTAAACCATTAAGGGCTTCTATCATGGAGGGCGGTGGCTAAACAATGTGCGACAACTGCGCAGACCTGGTGGAGGTGTTAAATGAAACCCAGACACGGAGCAGCGGGGTGAGAGGTGTCTGGAGACCAGGTCGATGGGGAGACGCTGCCTAGCGGGAAGAGACTGCAGGGGCTGGCCAGGTTGTCCTACTTATCCCAGACACAAGAGCGCATTCCTAGTCTAACCATTGGATCCTGGCTTTGAGGCAGGGTCGACCAACTTAGAGACCTTCAAGCCCAGCCCAAAGCATCTCACTACAACCCAGTTGCCCCTGCTGCACTTCTGCCTCTTGACTGACATCCAAGGACAGAAATCCCGCCTTTGAGCCAGACTTAAGGGCCCTAGCACAAGGAGATTCCTATTTAACAGCAACCACGCAACCGCCACTCGTCTGTCTGTCGTGCTGTGGTGGTTTGAATTGCTGTGATTCTGAGGGCTATGCCACC